TTAAACTGCAGCAAGGGAGGTTTAGGTTGGACATTAGGAAAACGTTCCTAACTGTCAGGGTAGTTAAACACTGGAATAAATTGCCTAAGGAGGTTGTGAAATCCCCATCTCTGGAGATATTTAAGAGTAAGTTAGATAAATGTCTATCAGGGATGGTCTATACAGTATTTGGTCCTGCCATGAGGGCAGGGGACTAGACTCGATGACCTCTCGAAGTCCCTTCCAGTCCTAGTATTCTATGATTCTATGAGCCCCACAACCATACCCCAAACTGAAGAGAGAACAAGGGGAGGTCAGAAGCAGCCCAGGGGAAGTTGGTCAGTTATACTGAGACTCCTCGTTTTTCTTGGGTGCTGGCTGGGCCCTGGTGGAAAGGGAGAGCCTTTTTATCCTCTTTCCATTCCCCGCCCTCCATCTGACAGGGGAAATCCTGGGAACACCAGGACTGTAACTCAGCTGCTAGGCCTTAAAATTGCCCAAGACTCAGACAGCTGAGGCACAGCCTGCCCACTAGGTCTCAAGTGAACCCTGCCACATCCTCCCAGCTTGCGGTGATCTGCAAATTTTAAAAGTTGTCTCTTCATTCCATTATCTAAGTGATGAATAAAGATATTGAATAATACCCAGGGCCGCCAACGAGGGGACAAAGGGGACAACTGCCCCAGGGCCCAGTGATCCAAAAGCGCCTGCGGCTCTCGGCTGCCGCAGCCCATTAAATCGCTGCTGGAGTTCTGCACAGCATACTTCAGGCAGCTTTGAAGGCTGGGCGGGCAGTCATACTGCCCACGGGCAGCACTGAGGGCTACATCTGCCCAATGACATGCCCCTTCAGGGAGTGCGGAGTCGCTCCCTTCCCCTGCTTTACCCAGCAAGGCTGTCTGCTCCCCTAATAGCAGACCTCAGAAAGACCCTTTCAGGACCCCACTTTCCTCCAGTTTGACAGCAAGCCATCAATAACTACAAGTTGGACCTTCCTGGTCCAGCACCCTCGGGACCTGACCAGTCTGGATGAGAGATTTTGCTGGACCAGGGGAGGTCCTCTCTGTCCCCTGCCACTGCCCCCTTTCTCCCAGCATGGCTGCCAACCCCCAGCCAGTTCCCTACCTCTTGCTGGCCCCACTGCCCTGCTGACCCCACTGGGCAGCTATTGCTGCCATGGCTCCGGACCCACTGGGCAACCCAGCACTGAGGCTCCAGGACCCACAGGGAAGCCGCACTGCTTGTTTGCTGGGCAACCATGCACTGGGTCTCCCACCCCCTCTGGGCAGCCCTGCCATCAGCTTGCTGTGGGCAGCCCACTGCCCTGCCAGCCCCACAGGGATCCTTGCAGCTGGCCCTTCACTGGGTCTCTCTGGTCCTGCAACATCCCTGTTGGACCATGGATGTTGCTGGACTAGAGAATCCCAGTTAAGAGAGTTTCAACCTGTCATCCAGTTTTGCATCCATCATAGTAGTAATTTCATCTAGATCAAACTTCCCTAGTGTGCTTGTGAGATGGTCTCAAAAGGCAAAACAGGAAAGAATCCCAACACTATTAAGATACAGCCACAGCCACTTATTCTGTTCCTCATTTTTGAATAAAGATTTCATTGTTCAGGTAGAAGAATGCATATATTCACAAAATTAGGGACAAAACAGCTCAGTGTTTCTAGGATAAAGCAGACTCCAAAAGTGCCCAAATTACAGCCTAAGGGCCAAATCTGGCCTTGATTCCATCAGAAGAATCTCTGCTTAACACTTAACACTGAATGATCCCCGACTGCAAGCATTCTTGTTTCCAATTTCTGTTGAACCCAGTGGCTATGTCTACATTGGCACCCCTTTCCAGAAAAAGGATGCTAATGTAGACTTCGGAATTGCAAGTTCCGCTTTTTTCCGGCTTGGGGATTCCTACTTTCAAGGAATAAGAGATCCTCCGGAAAAGGGCTTATTTTCCGGAGAATCATGTCTAGACTGGCACTTTTCTCCAGCTTATCCCCAAGTCGGAAAAAAGCAGCAGCCATGTAAATGCAAATGCCGCGGGGGATATTTAAATCCCACACGGAATTTGCAATTCCGAAGTCTACATTAGCATCCCTTTTCCGGAAAGGGGTGCCAATGTAGACACAGCCAGTATGTTCAGAATAAACCTCTAAATGTTTTTATACCAACCTTTGACAATTTTCCCTTCATATTTCCCCTTTTTTGTCAAGCTCATTGACAAAAAAAAAAAAAGACCAGTATCTATCTAGATTACCTCAGTTCAGTTTGCTTGGGAGCAGAATTAAAGGAAGATTGAATCAGAAGGAAACTATGTCCCTTTTCAAGACTTTTTAAAAAGCACAAAACCTTGGCCCCTCAAAATATTGCTGCCTCAGTTTCTTTCTACATATAAAGATCCCCAGGTCCTGACTCTGGTTGTTATACATGTGATCTATTACCTGGCCTCTTTCTTCCATTTAAAGTAGACACTATGAGAAAGCTTTAATTTCCAACAATAACAATTTCTTCTCAAGCTGTTTCTTCTCCTTTACAGCTGTTACTTCTACTCTGTTATTTTCAATATAGTTTCTTTTCTCATAATATATTATTTCAATTTTGGAGTAGAACAGAGATATAATGACAACAAGTGGTGTAGGAAAGTTATTTTCCAACTGTGAAAAGGTTTTTTTTTTTTTGTAGTTTTCTCAAAATGGCCATTTCTCACATATGAATGTGTGTACATTTGAATGTTCTATTTGCTTTAGTAGTAACATTGAAGTGTTACAGACTTTTGCTTGAAGATTTTGCTTGAAAGAAAATGGGTCTGATTTTTTTTGGTGAAAAACATGAGCATGTTCATATTTTTCTCAAAATTGGGCTATTTTGTGAACTCACAAAACTCAATGGTGATAAAATTCATTGCTGGATGAACACACAGAATTAAGTGTTCAATGTGCCATGGTATCTTGTGATAGAATGTATCACACAAAGTAAAACGGTATCAGATGGACTAACTAAATCTAAGAATCTTCGGAATTACCAGTCAAGTGTTGTCAGACCATAATGGGAATGAGAGATATAAATTCCAATTATAAGATCTGTGTTACTCTTCTAGGAACATAAAATGGAATGCACATTATACTATTTTAAGTTTTAAAGAAAGTGCAGTACAGTATATGAGGAGAGTAAAGGCGGGGGGAGAGAAGGGGAATAGTTGTATTCCAAAGAGCATAGAATCAGTTGTATAGAAATTCTTAGCATCAGATTCTCATTTACATGACAGTCTCTTTACACCAACCTGGCACTGTAAGGAGGATTTGAAGTGGGTTTAAATTTTACTTATACCAGAGTTAGTTTAAATGTGAATCCGACTGTAAGTGTCTCTACACTCTTCTGAAATGCATGTAGATAGTCCTTTCAGAATCCATTCAGACTATTCTTTTAATACTATTCATTTTACAGTTGTAATCTTGATGCTTGATGGGGTGACATTTCTATCTAGATTTTCATACATTCGTGAGCTATCTTTACAGACTTAACTCTGTTGGGTCACTTTTTCAAAGCAGCATTCAAGGTGTTATTCATTCAGTTCCTCATGTTTGTTAAGGGGATTTGTGTTTCTATGACCAGGTGTGCGGTGACCCCATTACTGGTGTGAAAATGTGTAGGAAATGTTTTTTAAATGGAATCCAGTAGAAAAGAAGGTGAAAGCTTCTTTGATAGCCAACAGCATAACAGTTGATAGAATCACAGAAATTAGAGATGAAAAAGAAGTGTCTTTGTATTACTTCTCTGTCCTTAAGAGTGTTCCCAATACTGCCAATCTTAACCTCATCTGCAAATGCCAAGGTCAGGGTAGGCTGCAAAAGGGACAGCATAATCCCAAGACCGGTCGGTAACACTGAAGTTAAACTCCTCAGCTAGTCACAAAGAATACATCTACTCAGCAGTGTTATTTTAGAATAACTGATGTTATTTCAAAATAACGTAATGGCTTGTAGTGTAGATGCAGACTATTTCAACATAATGTCGAAATAACGGCAAGCCGGAGGATCACTTACAGTAATTCCTCATTTATCACTATAGATATGTTTCAGAAAATGATCGTGTTAAGTGAAAACGTGTTATGCAGGGTCAATTTTCCCATTGAAAATAATGGAAAAGGTGGGGGGTTGCTTTTCAAGTGGCGGTGTCTGTTGGGACCTGGACATAAGGTTGGGGGAGAAAGGGGACTGGGTTTCAGCAAGGAGGGGAGGTGTTTGGCTCTGGGGAAGGGAAGGGAAGGAGAGGAGAAGGGAGGGGGATTGGGTTGGGAGTTTGCCTGTGATGGGTCTGCCTGGACCCGCACTGCGTTTGGCGAGGGGGAGGAAGGTCGCTGGGACCGGCGCGGTGAGAGGTGAACCCTCTGCTGCTTTGCAGGGAGGCAGGGGAAGCCCCGCGCAGATGCCGGCAATGGGCCAGCTGGAGAAATTGTGTTATTCCGGGGCCCGTCGTGTAATTCAAAAAACGTTCCCTAAAAAAAATCATGCTATCGTGAAAACGTGTTAAGCAGGCACGTGTTATATGAGGAATTACTGTACTCTGACTCCTGTAACCCTCATTTTACAAGGACTAAGGGAAGTCAAAGGAAGAGAGCTCTCTCGGACTTCCTGCTGTGTAGACCATGTCAAAAGCCGAAATAAGCTATTTCAATTCAAGCTACGCAATTGACGTAGCTAAAGTTGCATAGCTTATTTCAGCTTTAGCTGTGCTACTATATGTGCCCAAATTGTGCTTCTGATACTCCACAGTGGTTAAAAAACTAAAAAGAAATCACACAATCCTTTTTTTTTTGCATCGCAGTTCTCTGGCTCCTCGGCAGCACATAAGTCCTGTACAGTGAGAAGTTATTAAAATAACTAACTAAATAAATAAATAAATAAATGAAAACCCACTGTTCACATATAATCCTTTCAAGTCTAAAACTAATGAAAGAAGAAGAAAAGTTATTAAATGGTAAAGCAATTTGGAATGTACGTCAGACTACAAAGCTCACATACCAGGTTCTTAGTAGTGTGGATGAGTTTTCAGGCTTCAAAGTCCCTCTGGATCACATCCATAGCTTGGATGGGTCATTGAGTCCTTCATTCAGTTTATAGCAAAAGTCCTCAAGAGGTAAGAAGCAGAATTGAAGACAGAATGGTGATGATTCAGCAGCTGCCCTTTATAGTCCTTTTGCCATGTGCTTGTACTTCCTTTGTTTCAGACGCAAACCTATAGCACATGGCATTGAAAGGCTTAAGAATTCTGTCCATATGCATACCCCCGCATGCCTGGCTGAGTCCTAAATAGGGTTGTTAGTAAACGTTTATTTTTGTAACCACGTAACCGCTGAATTTTTGTAACCACTTAACTGCTGAGTACCAGCTCCTGCCTGCTCCCTCTCACTGATACAGAGGCAGCAGAGTGGAATGGGGGAGGCGGCTCCACAGAGCCAGTATGTGTAAGGAGCCAGTCTGAAAGCTGGCTTCCTGCATGTACTGTCTGCCTCCCCACCACCCTCCGCGCTGTTGCCTCTCTATCAGAGGAAGTAGGGCAGGGAGGCAGATGGCTCCGGGGGAGCTGACTCTGTATGTGCACCAGTTCGATACAGAAGCAGCAAGGTGGGGGAAGGGGGGAGGCAGGGGAGGGAGGGTGTGAAGTCATTAGGATTAACCAATAAACCCAGGCTTAGCAGTTAATTGTGTAAATGACTACATGCTAACATCCTTAGTCATAAGGTGTAGTCCCTAATCCTTTCAATGGGTTTATTGTACAGCCGATTTCACTTGATGGGCCATCAAGCAGAATAATTAGTGCTGATGCCACTCTGTTGGGGGTGGTGATTACCCAGATGCCCACCGCGGCCCAAGTCTGGAAATACAGATGCACCCTATACATGACTGACTACATAAAGGTGATACAAACATAAAAAGTGATCATGCTTGTCCAATCATAACATTTTCACAGACACCTTACAAGGCATGTCTGGCACAACTCCTTGCAATTTTACTACATTGGTACTCATAATATCCCCAAATGTCCACCAGATCCTATAAAGCATCTCATACTACCTTCCTTAGATGCTACATAAGTCCATAATACTGATCCTTTACCTCAGTCTACTGGAAAGTTCCCACTAACTCTATACATTGCCCACTATGATTATAGCTGGGCCCCGACTCAGTGTCCATAGAAGCAATGGAAATTTTGTCATTGGCTTCAATAGGGAAGGGAGAAGCCCTCTCCAGTTAAAATCATACTGAATTAGTATACATTATTTTTATCCACCTTCTAACTTAGTCACATATAATCTGCCTGATTTCGTATGTGTGGTTTTTTGCACGGCATTTTTTATTTGGGAGGAAAAGGTTGAATCTGAGAGTGTCTGGACAGCCAAACTGATTCTGAATATACACTGACTTTTCCCATTAGGGTCAACTCTTTTTCAAATGGCATCTCTCAAAAACAGATTGGCCTAGAAATTCTCACTTGCTTAATCACTTACCCGGGGGAAAAAACAAACCTAGAACCCTTTGAATTATTTTGGAAAGATGTGACACCCAATTTTTGGAGTTGTTCTATGTGCTAGGGACTTCTGAAACTTCTAATATAGTGGTTAAAAAGTAAGTGGTAGAATACAATGATTGTAGTCATCTACATACACTATATGAAATGATTTACTGAAATCAAGATATTACAGGCCAGATCTTCCACTGGTATACACAGACACAGCACAGCACAGGATCTGTCTTGCAGCCATTAAATTTCTTTCATCCTCTAATTTTGTAACAGAATAAAAATTAAACCTAATTCATACAATAAACCTTACCTTAGCTCCTCAGTGCCACTAACACATTGGGCAGTCTAGCTCCTCCACTGATACTGATTGCTTGGTAGTTCTGGTTCTTCTTGGGTAATGGCAGTGCATTCAATATTCTATTACCATCTTCTGCAAGTTTCTCTTTCCTGCCTCAAGCAGCCAATTCCATGCTTGCTTAGCTGAGTCTTCTGTCTTTGATAGTATTTTCTCATATGTCCCATTCTGTCAGCTCCTTATGCTCACATTTGTTATTAATCTTTCTGTGGAATAAGTAATATTTTTCTTAGTCATCAGTGATGGGCTGCCTCTAATTTTGTTTGTTGTTAGCCATGGTCATCAGACATGTCTGATCTTTCCAGTAGCAATCTCTGTAAAAAATCATGAAAAATCACTTGTTATAACCTGACCTTAAGTTCAGCGTGAAGAATATCTGTTCGACCAGATGTTCTTCACCTTTTCAAAATTGGTGTTTGCTTTTCCGAATCCTGTACAAACATTCTTATCACTCACATCTTTAAATTTTGACATACTCTCCTGAGAGCAGAACCTACCCACCTATCCAACATCTTTTCCATTGACTTTTGCATCTGTTGTTCAATTTCCTACCCTCGTAATGTTGGTTTTCTCTGCGTTTATTTTTAATCCAGTTTGTGCTGCTTTCCTATTTGAACTCTGAGGTAAGGCCAATCATCCTGTTCCACATAAGGCAACAGTGATTCAGCTGCACCACTGTGGCTACCTGAGGGTTCTCCCATTGGCATGAGAACTCCACCACCCCGAGAGTTATGTTAACACAGTTATGTTAACCTAATCTCTTAGGGTAGACTAGGTCTTAGTAAAGGAATGTCATCAGTAAAAGCATGCAACTCATCTCAGCTAACCCATTTGAGGAAAAAAACTAACAGAAAATGTAGGAATAGCAGAAATGTTCAATGACTTTTTTGTCTCGGTTTTCACCAAAAAGTTCAGTCATGATTGGGCATCTAACTTAATGAAAGCCTGTGAAGATAAGGCAGGATCAAA